TAGTGTGCATTTCAAACAGAAATCAGAGGTGTCTGCGCAAAAACTTTCTTCGCAACGGCTTTAGCGACTATTTCCTATTTTGCACGAAAAGGGGAGCTTTTATTCACGAACAGGGATCAGATCGAAGCAGACCGATTATGCGAACTTTCAAAAAAAGAAAAAAAGAGTGTACACTATATGAATATTTAAAAAAAAAAAATTCCGCAAAAGACAGACTTGGAATACACTGTCCAGTTTCTTGCATGATGTTAAAAGTAGTAAATTTACATCAGAAACCACGGAAAAATAGATCACAGAGAAAGCTTGAATTGAAATACCAGGGAAAATATCCTCAAAACAGAACCAAAAATCACTCCACAAACCCAATGCCATTTTTTCTTGCCCGACCGACCGAAAAATTGTACAGGAATGGCCTTGTGTGACATTGTAACATTTCAAACAGTTAAACAGAATTTGCAACACAGTCGATTTTTTTTCGGGAATAAAAAACTTGTATTCACGGTTCAAGATAAACGGCATTGTCGCAGTACTCCGTTTTTTCCTATTCATGTCCAACTTGGCAAAACAACAGATCTTTAGTAGAAATGTGTCAAATGTAAAACAATTAATTGGATCAATGGGAGACATGGACCGTACGTCTGTTTTTTTTCCTATTCACGTCCACCACGTCCACGTTCACAAATAAATATGATCGATTGTGGCCTAGAAAGATATATTGTATTTTAATGGGAAAGCGTCGGCAAATGCCAATGTTCACCTCACCGAACGTCGCTACCAGGCATTATTCTATTTTAAACCTCTGCGTTAGTGGGTGGCGATTTCCATCATGATGCGAGTTCGCGCATTTTAATAGCTCTGCAAAAAGATAGACTCCAACGATTGCATTGTTCCGTTTATGGCACATTTTATGACACATTTTACAACGCAATAAGAGTTTTTTCCTTCCATTCTTGTTGGTTGGACCAGAAATTCATAATTCAACGCACTCAAGTAAGGTGTTCTGTTCGTGGTATGGGTTTCCGGGGTGTTATAAATGTAATTCTTCGAAAGCAAATTGGGATGTCCCGGAGCTTTTCTCTATTCCAGCCCCCCCCCCTTCCCCACCCAACAACTAGAAGATGTTCACGCGCCATTTGCTTTTTAAATTCTTCTTATTTGTTTTAATGACATTGATTGCATCGATTATTACCTTTTCCAAAATAAACATTTTGGAAAAAAAAAAATGTTACCCTCGCCCTCGACATGGAACCCTCGACCCTCCTCAAAAAGATAGACTCGCTATATGCAACCCGCTGGTTTCACGCTGACAGAAAGGAGAAAGAATGGAAAATAATAACATCTCGAACTATGTCAATATTTTCGCGTGTGTGCGATTCAAAAGCTGAAGATCCATTTAATTGCGCATTATTCTAATGCCAGAAGTTTATGAAAGGGCATACCGGCTCTACCTTGCCACGTACAAAATATGTCAAATGCTTCAGCCCCGGGGCTTCAGCGTTGAGACAAGCTGTTATATCCTACTGTTATCGACTAGTACCTCGACTTAAGTTTATTGTGATCAAGCGTAAAGTGATTTTGTCCAATGTCAAACAAAAATGCGGGCCTTTGTCTCCAGGATCTGCCGTGAATTTAAACAAATTGAACTTAATTGAAATAGAATTGTTCATCAAAACGCCCTATGAAGTCTGGTCTTCTCTACAACCCGACCATGAAACAAACAAATATCCGCGCCGGATGCAAGTCACCCTCCAGCCAGGAACGATGACAGGTCGCCGATCGGAAACATTTGAAGAAGTCATATCTTTTCTCTTCCGAGGATAAGTACAACGGATTTTCCTTATATTAAAGAGAAGATTGACTGATCGAATGGAATCAACTACAGCTCTGTCGATTTTAAATGGACCCAAGTCTTTCTTTGTTGCCAGTCATTTGATCGCAGAGGTCAATGAGTTTTTTTTAAAACATGGGTCATACAGGATAAGTGTAAACCAACGCGTGTTGCTATGATATGGCTGGGAGTTAAGGTGAATAAAACTAGGCTGTGTACGGCGGCCCACTTTGCAAGAAATGAAATGAAATAAAATGTCAGAAGAGTCGAGAAAGCAGACTTTTCCAGTACAACCTTTTATGCACGTACGATTGCTTGTTTGTCATTTATACCGCTCTATGTACAGTACCGCAAATGATCCCCAACCGAAAATGTTCCTGAGACCGCAAATGATCCCCAGATGGACCGCAAATGACCCTCGACCGCAAATGATTCCGTGAAAACGTGAGGAATGGAATGGATTTTATGGGACTGATTACAAAAAAGGACTGATTACACAAAAGAAACCTTTTTCTCTCGCCTTCTAAAGAAAAAGGGAAGGAGGACGCTACAACTCAGGTCAATTCATACAAGGCTTGTATGAATTGACCTGAGTTGTAGCGTCCTCCCCCCCTTTTTCTTTAGAAGGCGAGAGAAAAAGGTTTCTTTTTTATAATCAGTCCTTGTAATCAGTCCCATAAAATCCATTCCATTCCTCAAGTTTACAAGGGATCATTTGGGGTCGACTTTAGGGATCACTTGCGGTGGAGGATCATTTGCGGTCCATTTTCGGTTGGGGATCGTTTGCGGTACTGTACAGGACTCATTAGAGCCCTGACTGGATGAAGTGTGATGGAAATTTGCATGGATCGAGATTAAAAACTCTAGTGTTAAAAAATATAAGTCAGAACAGTTTAGAACTTGGAAGAGACAATTTTCGTTTATTTGATTAATAGTTTTTTTGAATCCGCTTGATAGTTTTTTTGTGAATTTGAATTCCGTCAAATTGGAAAATTCGTAGCTAAGAGTTTGTGCACAATTTTTGAATATAGTTCATTCTCGTGAACACGTTCCTTCAGCCTTTATAGCGATTATTCTTACCCACTTACTTTGTTCACTGTAGGCGAACCCTCCTAAAGCTGAACTTCAAGGGACCACAGCTCAGCTCAGAAAGAGAAATAGAATTTCGTCGTTGCTTACTTACCTCCTCCATAAAACGCAAAATTAGGCATTTTCACGTCGTAGTCGTGTAAACACAGAAAAGAAATGTACAAAAGAGCGTGATGCATGTGCGAAGTTGTTGTTTTGCTTATTTAAAACCAATTCCTTTTTTGACGTTCTCGTTGGCGTCCGCATCAATGGCTCTTACAGTTTCTACTAATTTTCCCATTCCCTTGAGCTAACTTGGTTTATAAAGAACAACTTCAGTTATAGTAAAGAAGTTGTCTTGAATTTAGTCTTTTCGCCCTACGATATCTACCATTTAGTCCTATAAATAAATGACCAAAATGTTGTAACTAACAAAAGACAAGAAGGAAATAGTTCTGCAAGCCCACCATTTCAAAGCACAACAAAAGTATTGAAGGTGGAAACTAAATCGCGGCCTTAGGATTTCGAGTCAGGATTCGTGTTGGATTTTTGAATTACAAAACGTGTTGATTTTGTCGTTCGGAAAATCCTGTAACCCCTTAAAACCCCCTGTAACCATTTTGACCCAATGTAACACTTCTAACCCCCTGTAACCCCCTGTAGCCCCTTGTAACCCCTTCTAACTTCCTGTAACCCACTGTAACCTCCGGTAACCTATGGTATGGTATGGTATGGTAACTTTTCAACGCTTCAAGTATATATAGAAAAAAACTAACTCCCTAACTAGTCTAAAATCCAAGATAAAAGCTAAAATAATAAGGATGAAAAGAAAACACCTGCTTTTCAAGGAGGCCGTGTGTAAAAACAGCAGATGGTTAATTAAATTATTTCTCAATGGAAATTTGTCTCTTAATTGTCCCTTAAAAATACTACGGGATGTCAATTGTCGCACCTTCAGAGTTAAGCTGTTTCATAACACACGTCCGCTGTAAGAAAGACGTTTGAATTCATTCACTAGTACTGCAGTCGTATTTAGAGTAAGTAAGGACGCGAGCGGCGCGATTCTGCAATTTCTGCAACTTAGAAGATAGGTTTTTAGAACAGTTTCCCCATACTACATTACAGTAATCAAAGTGTGGCTGTACCAGTGAATTGTATACGTTAAGTAGAATCTTAAGAGCGGCCGTCCGTAAATATCGCCTGGGGGTGTGCAAAATGAAAAAATCGAAAATCCCCAAACTTTGTCAGATTATAAGTCTAGGTAAACTATTTCTAGAAAAATAACTTTTAGTTCCATTGGATTTTTATTTTACGCGTACGGCGACCGAGTCTGTTCAGAGGCTCTCAGATCAGTTTTCACAGGCTCAAGACCATATATTACTTAAAAATCGTTTAAAAATTAAAGAAGTAACAAACTCTGCCTCTGAAAATCTTAATAGAAAGAGCACAACTTAACAAATAGTTTCGATGTGAAATTTTCCTATTCGACAAGAAATCTAATATTTTTCGGATTTTTAATAATTTTACTTATTTTATAGCTTTTTGACAGACATAAAATTAGCAAATTTCAGACACAAAAATCACTACTTGGTATACGGCTTTGAGCCATAACTTACCTACTGATGGAAAGAGCAAGGTGTCTTCCTCAAATAAATGCAATAAAATTCTTGGGCAATCCTGCAGGGAAAATGTTTGAACGCCAAACAAAAGCGACCGTTGAGGTCAAAACACGCCATTTTGTCACGACACTCGAAGCCGGTTAAATCAATAAGAATGCTCTATTGGCCAGATTTCTCCAAAGCTCTTTGCTATTGAGTAATATTGATTAGACTCGACTTATTTGCATTTCTTTTGCCTAATTATTTCACTTACAATGCGCCCCTTGGCAGTCGAAAGCCTAATTTTAACCGGCGGTCAATGTTTCACAGCATTCGGATTACCTGTTTCAAAGCTTACTACCAATCGGATTCATGCACATAAAAGAACAAATTTACCGACGTTGGCTTACATAACGATGTATAAAGACTAAATATAATACTTATCTCTTAGGAAATGAGGATGTTTTGGAAATATTTAAAAATAACCGGCCATTGCGGTCATTGCGGTCTCCTCACATCACAGTACCTGCTCGCAGCGTGAAGGAGAATGCGTTACTCACTTTTGTCCTAGGGTAGGGGGGATACTCCAGACGAGGGGTGGGGAATGTCAGTAGCACTGTGTCTGAAAAGTTCTGGAGTAAGTAAGATTTGTGCTGCATAATGCACTAAATGCTTCCTAAAACTAAAATCTAAAAGTAAAAAGATATGTCAGTTGGCTGGTTGAAAGTTCGACGAACTGATTACGAAACGTTTGAGAAACAAACAATTATGCCACATGCGCTATCTATTATTTTGGGATATCTCGTCTGCTGCTCCTGGCATGCTTATTTTAAGCCATAAGATCATTAGATTATAGGAAGACCCCATGGAACTACAATCTTGGACAGAATCATGAAAAATGAAACAACAACCGTAACCCACCTCCCTTCCCCCCCCAAAAAAAAAAATATCAAGGATGACACCGCGCAAAAGCCAAAATGCACCATTTTCCCATCCTTGTTTGAAGGGGAGGAGGTATAAATTTCCATCTATTTCGTACAAACATCGAAGACAACCTGGCGAAAAACTTAATATTAATCACTCAAGACTTCGCGATGAAATTCCTGCCCCGGGCAGCTCAGTACCACGGACACTTGTGAAGGCAAAACCACGATGACAAACTACTGAGGGTCAGCGGGATCTCTAGTAGACCTGGATCAGTAACATCTTCAGTACCGTCCAAATTATAAAATTAAAACAGTAAACTGATCCTTACGGCAGGAAGAGTGACAGAAAATGAAAGAAAGAAAACAAAAATAAAATGGCATTAGAACCCCATGGTGTAAATCAACGTGTTGAACTCAGTAAGTGGCATTTATCTTTTCAGTAACGTATCTTTTTCTGTTACTACAGGGTATTCAAATCTCGCATGTGCAACCTAACGTTCGAATTGATCTTACATCTGTATTCATTTTTTTGTTCTTTTTTATTCCCGTTGAAGGTTTGTGTTGCAGACCGAAGTATTGGGCAAATATCATTCATCCTTTCGATGATCAAAATTCCCTAACCTCCAAATGCATAGAAAACTGGGCTTTATTTGAAAGACTTACACACAGCCCGCGATCGACATTATCGGTATCCCCCGGGGTCCCCGGGGTTGTGCCCAACGCCAAGCCCTCGAAAGCCAGCTCTTTTTTGTCCAGTTCAAGGATGAGTATATAAGCACCTTTTAGCGCCCGGACTTACATTAGAGAAAATATTGGTTTCTCGAGGAGGAAGCACAGCCTTTCGGAAGATTACTCAGCTGAGCGCCCGGGCAACTCTCTATGATAATAGCGTATACGGCAACTGGCTCCACCAGATAGGGGTAGCTAAGGTTTTAGGGATATTGGAGGGTAGCGATTTTAATATTAAAAGTATATATGAAAAGTTGAGAAAAGGACGCAAAAGGAAGGGTTAAAAAACAAAATGCAGAGAAAATATCTTAGTTTTTTATCTTTTCAATTACATACAGTTTTAAAAAAGGAGAAGGAGAGGAACAGTGCATTCAAAGCAGTTTGAAGAGATACAAAGAAAAGCGACTGTTTAAGGGACACCATTTTTTAATGGAAAGTACACGAAAGAGGACACCTTTTCAGTCAAAAATGGTATATAAATGGGTAATGGCTTCATTCCAGCTGGGGCAGTGACTCCCAGTATAAAACTTTGTTAGGTAGCCCGTGTCGTTGAGCGTGTCGATGTTGCGTTTGATATGTTGATCTGGAAAGCGAAGATATTTCAGTAAAACTGATCGTCACGGAACGCGTAAAATCGTGCTCTTGAAACTAATTAGTAAGATTTTAAGCATGTCCACCTATTCTCTTCTAACATTCCCCAGCAAAGTATTCTTCCATTAATGTCATTGCGTAATAACAGAAAATCTGGTAAGCTGATAAGCAAATTTACCCCTTTGGAACTGAATAGTTGAACGGGCTTACTGCTAAATCTCCTGACATCCAAGCTAACGAGGGATTGTGTCTCACGGCTTGTGCCCGTGCGAAGGTAGGGTGGGGCAGGGAGTCGGGGAGTGGAATTGGGGTTATGGATGTTACTGACTCTAAGTGTTAAAGACAACCGAAAGAAAAACAAAGTTTCGGTTAAATTTAATTCTAGACCTAGACAGATTCTGCGCTGTACCCTTTTAGCAACTTGTACGATTTTGAGCTACTTTTTCGATTCTGAGCAGCTTTTCGGAGAGTAAGCCACTCTCAAAGTTAGCGCATTTTTGGCATATTTTCACTATTTTTAAATTAAATTCATAAATAATCGATATTTCAACACATTTTCTTTTGAAATTCACAAGGAATTTCACTGGAAAATTTCTTGCGTTTTGATCGGTTGGATATCATATGTTGATAGATTCCAAATATGGATGTCCCAGATGTGACTCCATTTCCATAATGGATGGGTATCCTGGCCTGTGATAATATTCCAAATATGGTACAACAGTACGTACATTAAAGGTAGCACGCTGCACGCCTCTGCTGTCCGTTTCAGGTTTAAGGATTAAGGCCGAATGCTGTCTCACTGGAAGAGCTTAAGATGTTCTCTTTGTGGATGACAACATCATAGCAAACTTAGCGACAAAGCTTCTTGCCAATCTTGCAACTGCTGACGGTGTTGTGTACTCGAGTGATACACGATGAAGTAGTCTTAGGACGTCTCAGTTTTATTTTCTCAATATTTTAGCTGATAAGGTCTTTTTTTTTTCTAGAGATCAAACGATGACAACCAGCACGCAGGATGTTCGTCCACGGCTTGTGCAGTTTATTCCTTAAACCGGAAGTGGAAGGTTATCATAGTGTGTTCAGTCAGTCAATTCAGTTTATTTTCTCTCATATTTTAACTAGTGATAAGTTAGAGCCTTTTTAAAGATTTTTGTTCACAGTTATAAACGTTTCTATTGAACTTGTTGCACACTATGAAACTTTAAGAAATAAACTTCAGAAGCTGTAGACGTAGATCCTGCCGGTTTTCAACGTTGGATCTCTAAAAAAAGATCTAATCAGCTAAAATATAAAGAAGAGAAAACGAGACGTCCTAAGACGGCATAGTTTCAGGCTGGGATAGTTTTGAATCACTGCCTAGGCCTACTTAAATTGTACAGTCAGCTTCCGGTTTGAAGTGCATTGCACTTCCTGCTCTGTGTCACGCAAACGTGACATTCCTACTCGGTGATGTACAAGTATTTGGCACAGGATGGGAAGACAGTATGCTGTTGCACATCTTTGATAGGCAAAAAAAAAATGGTAGGTTTAAAAATAGGATTTCTTGGTATCATATTAAGAAAGTTACAATTCCACGTTGAGTTGCGTGAATGATTTTGAGTTCTAAAAAGCTATGACGTTTCAACGCGCTTTCGACCGCGACAACTTACGAAGAGTATAGATATTGCAAGACGCAATATGTCATTTGTTAGCAAACGGTTCCCAACAAAATGCACAGAACAAGGCATATAGCTGCTTAGAAACAAATTGTCTCGGCAAATGGAAAGAGTTCCGTGCGAAAAAACGCATAAGTATCTTGTTAACCGGGAGTATCGTTGTTTTTCCCCTTCGAGTGTCGTGACAAAATGGCGTGTTTTGACCTCAACGGTCGCTTTTGTTTGGCGTTCAAACATTTTCCCTGCAGGATTGCCCAAGAATTTTATTGCATTTATTTGAGGAAGACACCTTGCTCTTTCCATCAGTAGGTAAGTTATGGCTCAAAGCCGTATACCAAGTAGTGATTTTTGTGTCTGAAATTTGCCAATTTTATGTCTGTCAAAAAGCGGTAAAATAAGTAAAATTATTAAAAATCCGAAAAATATTAGATTTCTTGTCGAATAGGAAAATTTCACATCGAAACTATTGGTTAAGTTGTGCTCTTTCTATTAAGATTTTCAGAGGCAGAGTTTGTTACTTCTTTAATTTTTAAACGATTTTTAAGTAATATATGGTCTTGAGCCTGTGAAAACTGATCTGAGAGCCTCGGAACAGACTCGGTCGCCGTACGCGTAAAATAAAAATCCAATGGAACTAAAAGTTATTTTTCTAGAAATAGTTTACCTAGACCTATAATCTGACAAAGTTTGGGGATTTTCGATTTTTTCATTTTGCACACCCCCAGGCGATATTTACGGACGGCCGCTCTTAAAAGGGAGAAAATACCTAATACGCTTAATCGCACTTATGCCAGAAGCAATCTTCTTAGAGACTTCGCTAACATGAGACTCCCAAGAAAGATTTCCATCCATGTGAACACCTAGGGATTTTTAAGTGGAAACTTGTTTAATCGGAAACTTGTTAATTTCAATTATTGGATTCCTCTCTAGCGTTGACAGTCTTTGCCTGGACCCAATTAATAAAAATTCTGTCTTAGTCGTGTTTAGCGTAAGTTTGTTCGCTGCAAGCTATATACGAATTCTATCTAAATCTAAGTTAACTCAGCGCTATATTTCTTCAACATCATTGCTCGCATAGGTGATGCTAGTGTCGTCAGCATACATTCTAGGTTGTGAATGCATGAGGCAATTCGAAAGGTCATTTATATATAGTAAAAACAAAAGAGGACCCAAAATCGTTCCCTGCGGGACACCACAGGGTAGGTACGTTTCAAATGACTTTTTGGAATTAACGAGACACGTTTGTACACGATTTCTCAAATAATAACAGAACCATTGATTAGCAGAATCACGGATACCATATGCTTGCAGTTTTAAGAGAAGAATAGCATGGTTTACCATTTCGAAAGCCTTTTTAAGGTCTAAGAAGGCAACTGCATTGACAAAGCCGCTGTCGACGTTAAAACCAGCTATCTGTGGCTTCGATCAATGCAGTAACTGTGCAGTGGAGTGTGGGAAAACCAGATTGGTAACAACAGAGAAGTTTGTTTTCGGTTAGATAACGATATAGCTGATCATAAACAATGCGCTCGAAAACGTTAGCCACCACAGGAATGATCGAAATCGGCCGGTAATTTAAGGGATCGCTTCTATTGCCACATTTCTTGTAGAAAGGAGTGATCCTAGCGCTCTTCCATTCATCGGCAAAAATACTTGTTTCAATCGATCGATTGAAAGAGTTGGAAATTAGATCGAAGCATTCTCTCAGAAGTCTGGCCGAAACTGTATCAAGTCCAGTGGCTTTCCTCATGCATAATTTACGTAACTGAGACGAAACCAGAGATGGACTTATTTGTTGAAAACTAAGGCTGCCCGAGATAGATTGATTTACAAATTCATCGAAACAAGTATACATGTCTTCAATATTCTCGGACAGCTTGGGACCGATTTCGGCAAAGAATTTATTGAAACCTTCCGCAATTTCAGTCGGATCAGTTAATTTCTTGTCTTCAAATTCGAGTTCATTTATAATCGCTTTTCAGATTTGCGACCGGTCACCTCATTAATGGTCTCCCAGGTCTTACGTGAGTTGCCGTCACAAGCTGTAAGAGATTTCAAATAATAGGACTTTTTAACCCCCTGTAATCCCAATTCAGACAAAATCTCTCATTCAGGATTTTGGCTAAAAAAAAATCTTAAGAATAGCAAAAATATTGAATTCGGGATTTTGGCTAACCGAAATCTTCAATTTAGGATCTTGGACTTCCAAAATCTTGAATTGACGGTTTGGCCTTCCAAAATACTAAAGTCAGTTTAATCTTGAAATCAGGATTTTGGCTTTCCAAAATAATGAATTCAGTAGTTTGGTTTTCCAAAATCTTGTAATTTGGATTTTGGCTTACCGAAGTCTTAAATACAGTATTTTAGTTTTCCAAAGTCTTGAATTTAACCAATATCGTGAATTCAGAATTTTGACTAACCAGAATCTTAAAGTCCGCCAAAATTTTAAATCCCATTTCCTTGATTACCAATATCTTGAATTCGGGATTTTGGCCTACCAAATTCTTGAATTCGTGATCTCGGCTTACTGAAATCTCGAAGTCAGCAATAACCTTCAATTCATTATTTTGGTTTTCGAAAATCTTGAATGTAGGATTTTGGCTTTCCAAAACTTTCAAGTTAGTATGTTGGCTTTCAAAAATCTTCAATTTAGGATTTTACCTTTTTTAAAATCTTGAATTCAGGATTTTAGCATTTAGAAATCTTGAATTGAGGATTCTGATCTTCCAAACTCTTGAAATCACGATTTTTTCGTTCCAAAATCTTGAATCCACGATTTTGGCATTTTAGAAATTGTGAATTCAGGATTCTGATCTTCCAAAATCTTTAATTCAGGATTTTGGCCTTGGAAAGCCATGAATTCACTATTTTGGATTTCCAAAATCTTGCGTTCAGGATTTTGATTTTCAAAAATCTTGAATTGACGATTTTGGGTTGCTAAAATCTTATATTTAGCGCAATTCTTGAATTCAGAATTATGGCTTGCAAAAAATCTTGAAAGTGGGTACCATAACCCCCAGTTAGGATTTTGCATTAGGATGCGTATAGGATTTTTGATTAAGAAATCGTGTTAATTTTTTCGATCGGAAAATCCTGTAACCCCTTGTAACCCCCTGTGACCCTTAGTAAGTCCCTGTAACCTTTTGTGACCTTTGTAACAGCCTTTAACATCTTATAATCCCGTATAACCCCTCGTAAGCAACTGTGAATAGCTGTAACCCCATGTAACACCTTGCTAATCCCTGAAAACCCCTGTAATCTCTTGTAACTGTCTGTAACCCCCTGTAAACCCCTAAAACCCTCTATAATCCCCTGCAACCTCTAGTAACTTCCTCTTACACCCTGTAATCTCCCGTAGCCCCTTGCAACAACCTGGAAGCCCTTGTTGCCCCTTGTTACAACCTGTATCCCCTTGCAACCCTTTTAAGCCCTTGTAATCCCCTGTAACCCCTTGTAACCCGCTGTAACACTTTGTAACTCCTGTAACCCTCTCTAATCCCCTGTAACCCCTTGGAACCCCCTTAAGAGGGGCCTTATTCCTTGGCATTCGCATACATCAAGGAGGGCGAACACGGCGGGCGTTGAACATACGGGCGCTGAAGGAGGCAAATTTATCGTCGTTACCCATGTATCTGAAACCGAAGAGACCACTAGTTATGAACCGGCCAAATCGCCGTTTTTCAATCGCAGTAAAAAATCAGTTTAGTTGGACTGACTCGCGTTAAAATTTCGAGTCTTTCATGCTTCGCAAGCTTGGTTTCTCATCAGCCGACATTTTGTCGAAGACCTGCAACGGAACATTTAAAGTGTGGAAAACTGCAAACGTGACTTTTAACCTATACCCAAAGACTATAGCCTTACTGGTTCAGGTAAAAGCGGTACATGTACAATCTGCAAGAAACTCGCTTCGTCAGTTTTGCGAAGAAACTATACAACTTGACCTAGATGCAAGCTCCTCGATTACTGAAGTAAATGAAGTAGTTCACGACATCCTTGGACAAGAAGGCGATGATCAGCAAGAAGAAGAGTTGAATTTAATGGCGGATGAAAAGTTCGACAGCGATACTAAGGATGGTGGAACTAGTTGTTTTTTGAATAATTTCCAAACCACCGCCGAGTCCATCGAGGTGTTAATTACTAACGTGGGTGAGAAACTTTCAAGCGAAATTGTTAACATCTTCTGGTCGGAAATTGATAGCATTGAGTCTAATGTTTTACCAACATCACACGAGAACCATCAGTCCCTATTACTGCTGGAGCTAGACGAGCTTCGACTCAAGTGTTCAACTTACGAGTCAACCATCGACAATCTTGAAAAGGAGAAGGCTAGTCTTCGCGCAGTTACAAAAATTCTTTCCAGTTCAGAAAATCGCGAAAACTTTGACCCCACACATTTTTCAGTCAGCAATGAACCAACTGATGGCAGCGAATGGACTAAAGTAGGCAATGTGAAATCGAAGAGACAGAAAAACAAGAAAAGTAAACAGAATGGAACAGATGCAAAGGAAGATGCAGTAAAAGACTTTAACGATCATAATTCCAGCTCGCAAGCACCAAAACAAATTACTTCAAATTCGGCCCAGTTGACTGATCAGAAACCCTGTGTTATTATCGCGGGTGATTCGATGTTAAAGGTTATTAACGGTCGAAAACTTTCCACTCAAATTTCTAACCAAAGCTTCACTCATGTCAAGGCCTTTCCAGGCGCGACGGTAGAAGATATGTCTGACTACATAATGCCCTCTCTTCCCAGAAAACTTGACGTGTTGGTACGAACAACCTCAAGTTCTCCGAGCCACCAGAATTTGCTGCAGGTATCGTCAACCTGGGATTAAAGATACAAAATCAATCTTCGGATTGCAATATAACTATTTCATCGTTGATTTCAAGATCAGACCAAACTCTTAACAGCAAAATCAAGGAGGTGAACAAAATCGTGAACCAATTTCCCAAGCAGCATGCCTGGAGAACAATCCCTCACTCCAACATCACGAACGATCATCTTAATGCTAGTAGACTTCATTTAAATGTAAAAGGTACCAAACTATTAGCTAACCCCCTGTAACCCCCCGTGACCCCCTATAATCCCTTGTAATTCAACAGCCCCTGTAACACTTTGTTACTCCTTTAACCAGCTGTAGAACCCTGTACCCCCGAGTAAGCCCTGTATTGCTCCAGTGATAAGATATGAGATGACACTCGTTCACGTACTGATGTTTATTTCCTTTCTTAACCTTACTTCCATAAACACCGTGAGAACTAAAATAAAGGTAAGAGTATTTTACAAATAAGGTTGTGAAATTACGGAAATACATAATCATCCCAAGACGGAAAGGTAAAAACTTAAATTGCCAAATAACGGTAAATGATGTCGTGTGTAGACTTAACCGTCTAAAATCTAAAACTTGATTTTACAATGCCCAGAAATAAAATCGGTTTAAAGGATAAAATTTAAGTTAGCGTAAATATTTACCTTGGTGATGTCCTTAAAATTAGAACAAGGAAAGCTTGAAATGGAACCCTGCGTCAACTAACCGCAAAAACAGAAAACTTAACCTTTTAACAACAAAATTGCGTGGCGCTTTCGCGTGCGTCCCCTGCGTTAGAAAGAACCTCCGTTAGATCTACAAATTATAACGTTAGCGTGCGCGTGCAGAAAACAAAGATTTCGGATAAAAAATAAGTTAGTTAAACGTGCGGCTAATTGCTGTACCTGTAACCTCCGTTAACTCCCTATAACCCCTTGTAACCCCTTGTAAGGACCTGTAACCACTTTTAACCCTTTGTAACCCCCTGTCACCCTGTGTAACCCCCTGTAGCCACTTGTAACCCCGTGTAACCCCCTGTAACCTCATGGAACCCTATGTAACCCTTTGCAATATCAATACAATACAATTCAATAACTTTATTTAAAGAGGGAAGCGCAATAACCTATTACAGTTTTCTAACCTACGGCCCTCAAAAAAATAGAAAAATAGATAAATAAGTTTAGAAGACTAAAAACAAATAAATTTATTAATATATATATATATACATACACAAAAGAGACAATATTTAAAGTAGAATAGGCTATAAACACGTAATGAATAATATATAAATCGACGAAGGGGGTCAAAATATGTACTATCAATGAACATGTGTGCATATACACCTATTTCAATTAAGGTTGCTCCCGTGAACCATGTTTCATAGCCTGCAGTGCACCATGGTAAACCCTTTTGTAGCGGGAAGTTCGGTCTTGTTCACGTTCATTGAAATAATGGAGACCGTTTGTGAACAGGCGTTCAAGAGAGCTTTCAAGTCAAATGGCTGCTAAAATTCTTAAGCATGAGCGAGCTGAAATCTTCATTTTAAAAATCTGATAGTAAAAAATTAGAAGGCTCTTCTTTTGACAAAATTAAATGAATAGGGTTTTACCGCTTGATTAAGCTGCGGTTTTGCATGGGCAAGAATGCTGGTTATTTCAATAAGGCAAATCAACTCTTTTATTTTTTATTCAGTTTTAAAAAAATTGCCTCAAAAATAGATAAACACGTAATGTTAAGTTATTTATTGTTGTTCAGCAAACGCCTTGAATTTGCTTTTTTTAAACACCATCCAAAATTCCCACGTGCACGAGCAAAGCAAACTCGTTGAAAATTTGCAGCATTTGCATATTACACAGAGGAAAACCTATTACCTCAAATCACTGTCTTGAATTAAAAAGCTTAGGATTCAGTGTTTTGAAATACATTGTCCTGACATAGCATAGAAAGGTTAGCAGCGTTTGCTTTCTAGGTTTCTAGGCGCGTTTTGGGCACGTAATTTACTAGAATTGCTACAATAATGCACCGCGGGCTATGAAACATGGATCATGCATCATTCTTCTCAGAAGCAACGTTAATTGACATAGGTGTATGCATAAATATTAATTAAAAGAAGTAATAGTGGTTGTAGTAGGACTATGAAAAACAGTAACAATGAATAGAATAGCGGCAAGTGGAGCACAGTAGATCCTCCAAGTGCTCGGCCGATGATAGGCGTGAGAAAAACAGACTTCGTAATGTAGACTTAAGAGAGGAGGGAAGAAATTTAAATATCAGTGGAGAAGAAGAAATAGAAAACTCTTTTAAGTCGGAACTGAGGTCATTAAAAAGTTTAGTAACAGTATAGGCCAAGGTGCGTTTCCCAGAGTTGCTATGTGGGCATGGCACCTTTAAGTCGTAGAGAGAGGCTCTTGTAAAACGGCCCAGAGGTCCACGCGAATCACAAAGGAATTGGAATCTGTTCCTGAGACATTTAGGAGCATTCGGATTAAGGAGTACGATTCAAAGAAGAAAAAGTTTCCTGTATTTAATAAGATCAAAAACGGGAAACCAGTTAAGTTTTAAAAGTAAAGAAATAGAAGCCTGAGAGAGGTCGGCATCAAGGAGTATACGCCCAGCACGCTTCTGAAGACGAAGCAGTCGTAAGAGGAGATGGTGGGAACAGTTACCCCAGGCAGCAGAACAATAAATAAAGTAGTTGTTAACACAACAATTATAGAATCTTAAAGCAGAATCAAAGTTAAGATAAGGTTTGATGCGACGGAGAAGAGAAAGCCTACTGCTAATGATGCCGCAGATTGTATCGATATGATGCTCCCAAGACATGTCACTGTCTATTATAACGCCCAGGATCTTGGCATAGTCCACTTGCTCAATAGATCTACCATCGATTTGAACATTGAGTGCCGAGCTGGTTAAGGTACGGCGTTTCTGCAGGGTCGTAATAAGTAAAGATTTAGTTTTGGTTGTGTTAAGTGACATTCGATTATTATCAGCCCACGTAGATACAGTTCTAGCAACTTCATTCAACTGAGTGCTGAGGGAAGTAACAGAGGACCCTCGAACAAGAATAGTAGTATCATCCGCAAACATAGTTGAAGTTACGTCTGAATGTAGCTCTAACGGCAAGTCGTTGATATGAATAATAAAGAAAAGTGGCCCCAGGATACTACCCTGCGTCACACCCACAGAGACTGGAAGTGCTTCAGATAGAGTGCCCCTAGACTGGGTTTTTTGGGAACGACCGGATAGATAAGAGCGAAACCAAACCATGGTAGAGTGGGAACAACCATAGATACGAAGTTTATGAAGTAACGTATCATGATAACCTGTAACCTCTCAACAGCCCCTGTAACACTATCCTGTAACCCCCTCTAATTAGCATCTAACAGCATTAAGATGTTCGTTCGTGATGTTGGAGTGAGGGATTGTTCTCCAGGCATGCTGCTTGGGAAATTGGTTCACGACTTTGTTCACCTCTTCAAAGCCCCTGTAACACTTTGTTGCTCCTTTAACCAGCTGTAACCCTCTGTACCCCCGAGTAACCCTCTGTAACCCTTTGTAACCTCGTGCAACCCCCTGTGAGTGAGTGAGTGAGTGCAAACTTTATTTACCCACGGTAATTTTATCAAATAACTTTACATAAAGCATCTGTTCTACCTAAAAGCCGTGCATTATTTAACTTACATAAAGATATAGATATATATCTAAAAACTAAGAAAGATCGTACACAATGGTAAACCTAACGATGAAAGACTTAAATTATGAGGCTTGTGTAGATAGCAAATACGACCTGATCTGAGCCTTAAATTGTTTTAAAGAAGTCTCCTCCTTTAAACTGTAACGAAGAGAATTCCAGAGATTAGCGCCTGCAGAAGCAAAACTATTCCTAAAATAGTTTGTTCTTGCTTTTGGCACTATTAAATTCATGCCAGAAGAGCGAAGGTCATAACTGAGCCGGCTTGTATGAACGTCAAACATGTCAGACAAATAAGAGGCACAGAGGCCATGATTTACATTAATGCCATATGATGTTGTCTCATTTCACTAAGTGAGAGCAACCCAAGTTCATGCCGAATATCAGCTGAATGTTTCGAGTATGAAGCACCTGTAATAACACGAGCGGCTCTATTTTGCAACCTTTCAAGACTGTCTACCAACGTTTCGCCAATACTATCCCAAACAATACAACAATAAGTAAAATAAGGCTCAACTATTGACCTGTATACGTTTATGAGGTGCTCCAAACCAACAAAAGGCCTAATCCTCTTAAGAATTCTAATGCCACACCCCACCTTTTGTCTGACACTTTGTAAATGATTTCTCCAAGTAAGAAATTGGTCGATAGTGAGGCCAAGACACTTTATACTTTCGACCTGTTGTAACGTTAAACCATTCACACTTAATGAAATATCTCCAGCTAATGTTGCAATTCTCTGCCGAGAACCTATCGCCATAAAATGTGTCTTTAGAATCTTCAATGTGAGTTTATTTGAGCTGAGCCAATTAAAAATTCTGCGATGGTCGTTGCTCATTTCAGTCTGGAGGATTGATAAATCCACGGCAGAGAACGTTAAATTTGTATCATCAGCAAATGACCTTCCTATACTATGATCTAAGCAATTTGGTAAGTCATTAATGTAAATAAGAAACAAGGGTGGGCCTAATAAAGAACCCTGTGGCACGCCACATACGATACGATTTTTTAGAGACGACAATCCGTTTATCACGCAAAATTGCTGTCTGTCTTTTAGGTAAGACTTGAACCAAGAAGCGGTTTGACCCTGCACACCATAGTCAGACAGTTTTTTCAACAAGATAGCATGGTCAAGAGTGTCAAATGCCTTCTTAAGATCAAGGAAAATAACACCACTGACCATACCTTTATCAATATTAAGACACCACTGATTTGTCATATCTAGAAGCGCAGTTACAGTTGAATGAAGAAAACCCAGATTGACGAGGCTGAATAAGGTTATTTTCCGTAAAATAGGCATATATCTGCTCATAAACTAATCGTTCAAAAACTCTGGCTATAGTTAGTAAGGCATAAATCGGTCTAAAGTTATTTGGATCATTACGTTCACCTGATTTAAATAGCGGAAAGACCTTTGCAGCTTTCCAATCATTTGGAAAAGTATTTGTAGTAATCGAGAGGTTGAAAAGGTCAGCTAACGATAAAGAAATAACTGGAGCCGCTATTGTTAAAACCTTGTTTGGGTGTTATCATGACCAGTCGCCTTTGTAACATTTACTTCCTGCAGTTTTTTAAACACGTCAGAGATCGTGACTTCCTTCAGTTCAAAAGAAGAATTAACGCGCTCTTGGGAATCAGCTGGATTTACATCACAATCCACCTAGGGATTTCAGATGCAAATTTCGGCCCAACGTTTGTAAAGTGAATATTTAAGTATTCAGCGATTTTCTAGGGATCAGATGAAGGCCCAGAATTTTCTGTCTTTAAATAATTAATCCGTGTGCTGTCCGATTTCTTACCGATGCGGTCGTTAAGAATTTTCCAAGTTGCTTTTAGGTTACCAGAGGCTCTTTCTATTTGATGTTTGTAATAATCCTACTTTGTCTTTTGTGCGTTTTTGTTAACCGTTAACTTTTTAGTTGTATATGCCTTCCAATCATCCGGCCCTTGCGTTTCTGAAGCTTGTTTCTTTAGCCAGTCACGTTTATAAATTTCTTCTTTTAACTGAGAATTTAGCCAAGGAGCGGGTTTATTTCTGACTCGCATGACTCTTCTCGGAGCATGCTTATCAACTATATTCAAAAATATATCTTTTCATGCATTCCACGCACTATTCACTTCCATACCGCTTTTAATAACAGGCCATGAGGCATTTTTCAGATCTGTTAAGAAATTGTTCTCATTGAAATGTTTAAAATTCCTCAATTGAATAAACTTTGGTTGTCCCCTGGGTAAACCAATTTTTCTAACAGCATAAATTAAATTGTGGCCGCTAATGGAAAGTGTGTATACTCCTGAATGAGAAAGATTATCTTCCTTGTTCTATCTACTATCTACTATCTACCAGATCCGATTTTGATTCATTAATAGCCAAAACATCCAGGGGCTTATTTGTCATAAAGACTTTTAATTCATCTATGTGTTTAGTAAGACTAATTACGTTGAGCAAGGCAATTTTGAAACCTCTAATTTCAGAAGTAATCTTATCAAATGACATTGGTTTGGCAGAACAGTGATCATTAGGTCGTCGATTACTATCTACACAGGTCAAATTTCATTCTCCATTAATATATTCCCTAAAATTAGACGCACGGCGGTAAAAACCTTTCCGATTTAAACGCAATCCACTTATAGTAAGAGAGTCCTCTTTGATGTTACTGTTATCAATAAAAACCCACTTCTTACTCTGACAAAAAGAAGAGAGCCGGCGATTTACCTCATCAATCTTGGAATTAAAAGGTTGATCATCAAACTTGTAACTCTCTATAACCTCTTGTAACGCCATGAAACTCCTTGTAATTTATTTTAACCCAACTTAGCCTCCTGTAATCCCCTGTAACCCCTTGTAACCCTCTGTAACCCCTTAAAACCCCTTTAAACCCCTGTAACCCCCTGTAATCCCTTGTAATCCCCTGTAACCCGTTGTAACCCCCTTTAACACTTTCTAACCCCTGTAACCCCTTCGAACCACTGTAACAACATTTAAATCCCTGTATCCCTTGGTAGCCCCCTGTAACCCCTTGTAAGGCCTTGTAACCACCTGTACCCCTTGTAACCCCATGTTACCCCTTTCCAAATTATAACCCCTGTAATCTTTTGCAATCCTCCGTAAACTCTTGTAACCCGCTGTAACAGTTTGTAACCCTTTTAACCTAAATATCGATTTTAAAAGAATTTAATTTGCGATTTAATAAAGGATTGAATTAACCGCAAAAAACAGTGGACGAAGATCCCGCTAGTTGTAAACGTTAGATCTCTAGAAAAGAGATCTAATCAGCCATAATATAAAGAACCAAGAACGAGAGGTCCAAAGACTACTGCAAAGCTGATATAAAAGTACGTGTATTGTTTTTTATAAAAACATTTCCGCTGGCCGTACACAGGGCCTCCTTGAAAAGCAGGTGTTTTCTTTTCAACTTGATTATTTTAGTTTTTCACTTAGATTCTAGATTAGTTAGGTAGTTAGTTTTCTATACTTGAATATAAATATACCTGAAGAAAATACCGTGTATAAATAAAATTACCATACCATACCATACCAATCAGCTGTAACCCCCAGTAACTCTCCGTAACCCCCCTGTAACCCTTTAAAACCCGCTGTAACTCCTTGTAACCGTTTGTACCCCAGGGTAACGCTTTGTAGCAACCGGTAACCTTGGTAGCCCCCTGCACTTTCTTGCAGTCCTCTGTAATCCTTTGTAACCTCCTCTTAACCTTTGTAACCCTCTATAGCCTTCTGTGAACCCCGTAACTCTCTGTAACCAACTGTGACGCCTTGTAACCCACGTTAACCCCCTGGAACTCACTGTAACCCCTTGTAACCCTTTGCAACCCCATGAAACCCCTTGCAACCTCTTTTAATCCCTCTTAACCGCTTGTAACCTCATATAACCCCTTGCTAGACCCTGTAGACAGCAGCTGCCCCATGAAACCCCTTGCAACACTTTGTAACCCCTTGTAATCTTTTGTAGGTCCCTTTAACTCCTTGTAACCCAAAGAAACCTCTTGTAACCCCTTTTAACCTTTTGTAACCCCTTCTAACCCTCTGTAACCCCTTGTAACGCGCTGTAATTCCTTGTAACCTTTTGTGCCCCCCCTGTAACCCGTTGTAATTCCCTTTAACCCCATATAATCCCTTCCAATGCACTGTAACCGCTTGTAACCCGCTTTAACACTTTGTAACCCCTTTAATCACCTAACCCCCTGTACCCCCTGTACCCCCTTGTAACCCTCTGTAACCCTCTAGGTTCCCCTGTAACCCCTTGTAACCCCCTTCTTACCCTTTGAAACCGCTTGTAGCCTCCTGTAACTCCCTGTAACTTTCTGTAACCAACTGTAACGCCCTGTAACCCTCTGCAAGCCTCTCTTACCCTTTGTAACCCTCTGTAGCTTCCTGTACCCCCTGTAGCTCCTTGTAACGAGCTGTAACGCCCTGTAATCCAAGTTAAACCCCTGAAACCCCTTGTAGCCATCTGTAACTCCTTGTAAGCCCCTGTAATCCCTGTCACCCTTTATCCTTTTGTAAGCCACGGTAACCACATTATTCGCGGAAACCCCTATAACTCTGTCATCCCTTATAGGCCCATGTAACCTCTTGAAATCAATGTAGGAAGAAAGTGGATACGAAATATCTTGTTGGTAGGATTGGGTGGCCCAACACCTGGAAATTGGGAGTTGCAGTTAGTTTGTATGCTTTCACGATTGCACTATCTTTTACTTAGTGCTATGAAGAAAAGACCAAAATGTTGTAACTAAAAAAGGACAACAAGCCAATAGTCCCGCAATCCCACCAACTCAAAGCATATTAAATCTATTCAAAGTGGGTACCAAATGGCCAAGTTAGAATTTCGAGTTCGATTTCGAGTCAGGATTGGTTTCGAATTTTTCGAATAAGTTTATTTTTCCGTTCAGAAAATCCTTTAACCCCTTGTAACCCTCTGTAACCATTGTAACTGCCTGTAACCCCCTGAAATCTTTTGTAACGCCCTGTAATCTCGTGTAACACACTGCAACCCCTTTTAACCCCCAGTAACCCCCTGTAACCTACTGTAACGCCCTTAACCACCTGTAACACCTTGTAAGCCAATGTAACCCCGTGTAACCTCCTGTAACCCCAATTTACCCGAAACTTTCTATTCAGGATTTTGGCTCTTAAAAATCTTACAGAAACGTTTAAGTCACCCGAATCTTGAATTCAGGATTTTGGCATTTTAAAATCTTGAATTCAAGATTTTTATCTTCCAAAAGTCTTGAATTCAGGATTTTGATCTTCCAAATCTTGAATTCAGCGTTTTGATCTTCCAGCATCTTCAATGCACCAGTTTGCCTCTTTAAAATCTTGAGTTCAGGTTTCTGGTTTTTCAAAATCTTGAATGTAGGATTTTAGAGGTCCGAAATCTTACACTCAAGATTTTGGCGTTACAAAATCGTGATCGGGAGTTGCACTTGGTTTTTGTGCTTTTACAGTTATACTATCTACCATTTAGTGCTATGAATAAATGACCAAAATGTTGTAACTGAAAAAAGACAAGAGGCAAATATTCCTGCAAGCCCACCATTTTAAAGCGCAACAATTATTAAAAGTGGGTACTATATCGCACAGTTAGGATTCCGAGCAAGGATTCCTGTGGAATTTTCCAATTTGAATTTGTGTTGATTTTTTCGTTCGGAACCCCTTGTAACTCCCTTTAATCGCCCGTAACCACTGTAACGCACTGCATCTCCTTGTAACCTAATGTAACCCACTGTAACCTCCGGTATTATGACCCCCTTAAATCCCAAATCAGGCAAAATCTTCAATTCAGGATTTTGGCTTTCGGAAATCATGAATTCAAAGTTTCGATTTTCCAAAATCTTGAATTCAGGATTTGGGGTTGCCAAAATCTTATACTTAGCGAAATTCTTGAATTCATGATTATGGCTTTCAAAATATCTAGGGAACATCACGCCCGGTTAGGATTTCGCGTCTGAATGCCTATAGGGTTTTCGACTGAGAAATCGTGTTAATTTTTTCGTTCGGAAAATCCTGTAACCCCTTGTAACGCCCCTGTAATCAAACAGACAGAAACTCTTAACCTCCTTGTAAACCCTTGTAACCCTTAGTAACTCAATGTAACCTTTTGTGACCTTTGGAACAACCTTTAGCTTCTTGTAACCCCAATAACTCTTTGTAACCTACAACAAACAGCTGTAATCCCTTGTAAGTCCCTGTAACCCCATGTAACCCCTTGCAACTCCGTAAACCCCTTGTAATCTCTTGTAAGTCTCTGTAACCCCTTGTAATCTCTTGTAACACTCTGTAACCCCTCTGTTACCCGATGAAACCCTTTACAAGGGGTTACAGGGGGTACAAAGGGTTACAGGAGGGTTACAAGAGGTTACAAGGGGTTACAGGGGGTCACAAGGGGTTACATGGGGTACATAGTGCTGCGGGGGGTACAAAGGGTTACCAGAGGTTACAGAGGTTATAAGGGATTACAGGGGGTTACAAGAGGTTACACGGGGTTACAGGGGGTTCCAAGGGGTTACAGGGGGTTACAAGAAGTTAAAATCCAACGGCTCTGGCGAATAAATTTAACGAATACTTCACGTCAGTAAGGAGTGTGACTGCCCAGAAAGCTAGTGACCTCGCAATTGAACATAATTTTGATATCCATCCTGTTTTGTTGGTTGTGGAACCCTTACCTGGTCAGTGCTCAGAAGCTTTTCAGTTTCATTCGGTGTTAGACAAGGATGTTGAGCGTGTCATTTAAGGCTTCTTTTCAAACAAAGCACCTGGATACGACAGAGTATCTGCACGTGTACTCAAGGATAGTCTACCAGTAATTCTTCCGTCAATCACTAGTATTATGAACTACCCTTTTTACACTGGAACGTTTGTAAGGGCATGGAAAATTGCCGAGGTAACTCCTATTTTAAAGTCCGGTAATTCTGAAGATCCGAGCAATAATCGACCTATTTCGCCACTGGCTATCCTTTCAAAAGTATCTGAACGATTGGCTAATGGGAAATTTGTCGACTATTTTACAGCAAATAAGATATTGGCTAAAACTGAAAGTGGTGACCAAAAGCTTTATTCAACTGAGACTGCCGTTCTATGTGCAACAGACGAACTGTTGCAGGCAATTGATGATAAAAAGATCTCAGCTCTGGTGTTACTCAACATGTCAAAGGCCTTTGACAGCATTAGACATGATATTCTATTGCAGAAACTACAAGCTCTTGGTGTCTCCTTTTCATGCCGTTACTCGTTCCATAGCTACCTTGTTGACCGCAGTCAAAGAGTACGCATCCATGATGCTATCTCTCTCATGCTATCCCTGAAATATGGAGTCCCTCAGGGATCAATATTGGGTCCAGCCATGTTTACTATTTATGTAAATGACCTGTTGTCTGTCCCTACTTACTGCAAATCGGCCTGTTATGTTGATGATTCTAAACTGTACCTGTCCTTTCCCTCGTCTGACATGTCCACTGCAATTCACAACTAAATGCGGACCTGGAACAAGTCTCCAGATGGTGATGCCAAAACTCTTTATTGAGAAATCCTGCTAAGAATAGGTTTTAATGATTGTTATGCCTCAACTTCTCAGTGAGCTGCCCACAACATCTGTTCGGACGCTTGGAAAAGATATTACCCCCTCTACTGTTGCTAAAGATCCTGGCATTTATATTGACCAATCGCTAACTTACAACGAACAGATTGCTAAAACATTCTCTACCTGCCTACATGAACTCGTACAAATCAATACAATTAAACACTTCCTAGATAAGGAAACAATACTTCTCCTTGTAAGCTCTTTCGTTTTTAGTAAGTTATTTTATTGCTCAACTGTTTTGTCAAATACTAGTAAACATAACATCAACAAACTTCAGTTAGTGCAGAATTTTGCCGCCCGTGTTGATCTTGGCCTCAAAAAAATTGATCACATCTCACAAATGTATTAATTAACTTGTCAGGATCAAAACATGGTTAGGAACTGTGTAGCGCTGATAAGTTGATTACAATTAAAATTTGTCTTTGTGTTCTTAGCGCTAAAATGTTTGAAAATCCAGACGTTTCAGGACTACTGTCCCTTCATCAGTGGAAGATGCCGTGACTTGTGCCTGACTACCTATTCGAGAAATGTACTCTGCGTTCACAAATTCACACTTGAAATACTAGACAAGCGATCAAATAAACATTGCAAAATGTCGCCTAACCACCGGTCAGCGGTCCTTCACCTACTGCGGTGCTAAGCTCTGGAATCATCTAAGAGACAATGTTAAATCTTCAGATTCTGTCAAAGTTACAAGAGGTTACAAATGGTTACAAGGCGTTACCGGGGGTCAGAGGGGGTTAAAGGGAGTTACATACGTTAGAGGGGGTTACAAAGGGTCACAGGGGCTTAAAAAGGGGTTACAGGGGTTACAAGGGGCTACAAGAGGTTACAGGAGGCTACAAGAAGTAACAGCAGGTTATCGGGGGTTAAGAGAGGTTACAGGTGCTTTGAGGAGGTTACAGGGGAGTACAAAAGGTTACAGGGGGAATACAAAGGGGTTACAGGGGTTACAAGGGGTTACAGGGGGTTACAGAGGGTTAAAGGTGGCTGCAACAGGTTACAAGGGGTTATAAGGGGTTACCAGGGGTTACAGGGGGTGCCTAGGGGTTACAGGGAGTTACAGGCGGTTACAAAGGGTCACAGGGAGTTACAACGGGTTAAAGGAGGCTACAGGAGGTTACAAGGGGTTACATGGAGTTAAAACGGGTTACAGGCGGTTACAGGTTGTTAAAACAGGCTACAAGCGGTTACAAGAGGTTACAGGTGGTAACAGGGGGTTACAAGGGATTAAAGGAGCTTAAAAGAGGTTACGAGAGGTTAAAGGGAATACAAGGGGTAACAAAGATACACGGGGTTACAGTGGGTTATAAAAGGGTACAAGGGGGTACAGGGGTTACATGAGGTTACAAGGAGTTACGGGGGCTTAAGAGGGGTTACAGGTGGTTACAAGGGGTTACAAAGGGTTACAGGGGGTTACAGGTGGTAACAATAGGTTACAGGGAATCACAAGGGGTTACAGGGAGCTACGGGGTTAAGAGAGGCTATACGGGGGTTTAAGGGTGCTTACAGGAGGGTACAAGGGAGTAGAAACGGTTGCAGGGGCTTACAAGGGGATACAGGGGGTTACAGAGAGTCACAGGTTGTTGCAAGAGGTTACAAGAGGTTACATGGGGTTACAGGGGGCTACAGGAGGTTACAGGAGGTTACAAGGGAGTACAAACGGTTGCGCGGGGTTACAAAGAGTTACAAGAGGTTATCGGGGGTGACAAAGGTTTACAGATGCTAACATGAGGTTACAAGGGAGTACAAACGGTTGCAGGGGGTTACAAAGGCATACATCGGGATACAAGGGGCTACAAGGGGTTAGAAAGTGTTACAGATGGTTACAAGAGGTTAGAGAGGGTTACAAAGGGTTACAGGAAGTTACAGAAAGTTACAAAGGGTTACAAAGCGATACCACGGGTCACAGAGGTTACACTACAATTAAAGGGGTTACCAGAGGTTACAAGGGGTTACAAGGGGTTACAGAGGGTTGCAAGGGTTACAGGGGCTTACAAGGTGTTACCTGGAATTACAAAGGGTTAGCGAGGGTTACAAGGGGTTACAGGGGTTACAAGAAGTTAGAGGGGCTTAGAAGGGGTTACAGGGGGTTACAGGGACTTACAAGGAGTTCCATGGGGTAACAAGGGGGATCCAGAAGTTACAGAGGCTTACAAGGGGTTACATTGGGTTAGAAAGGGTTACAGTGGGTCACAAGGGGTTACAGGGGCTTACAAGCGGTTACATGGAGTTCCAAGGGCTTTCAAGGAGTTACAGGGTGTTACAGATTGTTTCAAGAGATTTGAGAGGGTTACAAAGGGTTACAGGGGGTTAAGAGAGGATAGAAGGGGTTATAGGGGGTTACAAGGGGTTACAAAGGATTACAGGGGATTACAATGGGTTACAAGGCGTTACCGCGGGTTACAGGGGTTACAAGAAGTTTAAAGAGTTTACCCGGGGTTACAAGGGGTTAGAAGAGGTTACAGAGAGTTGCAAGGGATACAGGGGCTTATAAGGGGTTACTTGGGGTTACAAGGGGTTTCAAGGGGTCACAGAGTGTTACTGGTGGTTGCAAGAGGTTAAAAGGGTTTTAAAAAGGGGTTACAGGGGGTTACCACGAGTTACAAGGGATTACTGTGGGTTTTAAGAGGATACAGGCGGTTAAAAAAACCTTACCGCGGGTTACAGGGGTTACAAGGGGTTACTTGGTACTTTAAGAGGTTACAGGGGCTTACAAGGGGTGAGATGGGGTTACAAGGAGTTACAAACCGGTTACAAGGGGTTACAGGGGGTTACAAAAAATACAGAGAGTTACGGGGGGGGTTAAGAAGGGCCACAAGAAGTCACAAGGGGTTACAGGGGGTTAGAGAAGGTTACAACAAGTTACAGGGGGTTACAAGGGGTGACAAGAGGTTACAGAGGGTTAGAACGGGTGACAGGAGGCTACAAGGGGTTACCGGGGGTTACAGGGGTTAGAAGAGGTTACAAACGGGTTACAGGGGCTCGCCAGGGGTGACATAGGGTTACAAGGGGTTACATGGGGTTACAAGTTGTTGCAACGGGTTAAAGGGGCTAAAAAGGGGTTATATGGGGTTACAAAGGGTTCCAGTGGGTTACAAGGGGTTAAGGAGGGTAAGAGGGGGTTACAAGGGGTTAACTGGGATTACAAGGGGTTACAGGAAGTTACAACGGGTTTCATGGAGTTTAAACGGGTTACAGGGGGTCACAGATGGTTACAAAGGGTTTCAAGGGGTTACAGAGGTAACAGGGGGCTAAGAGGGGTTAAAGGGGGCTACAAGAGAATTCACGGGGTTTCAGGGGATTACATGGGGTTACAGGGGCTTACAGTGGGTTATAAGGGGTTACATGGAGTTACAGCAGGTTACAAAAAGTTAAAATTTGTTTACAGGGGGTTACATGAGGTTAAAACGGGTTACAAAGGGTTACAAGGGTTCACAAGGGATTACAGAGAGTTACAAGGGGTGACAGAGGGTTACAAGGGGTTACAGGGGGTTACGAAGGGTTACAAAAAGATACAGGGAGTTACATTGGGTTAAAAGGGTCACAGGGAGTTACAAAGAGGTTACAGGGGGTTACAGAAGGTCACAAGAAGTTACAGGGACTTACAACGGCTTACATGGGGTTATTGGGGTAACGAGGGGTTACAGGGGGTTACATGGGGTTACCTGGGGTTACAGGGTGTTACAAGGGGTGACAACGGGTTACAGAGGCTTAGTAAGGGTTACAGGGAGTACAGGGGGTTACAAGGGGTTACAGAGGGTTGCAAGAGTACAGTGGCTTACAAGGGGTTATCTGGGGTTACAAAGGGTTACAGAGGGTTACAAGGGGTTACAGGGGGTTATAAAGGGTTAGAGGGGCTTAGAAGGGGTTACAGGGGGTTACAAGGGGTTACAAGTGGTTACGAGCGATTACAAGGGAATAGAAAGGGTTACAGGGGGTTACAAGGCGTTACCGGGGGTTACAGGGGTTACAACGCGTTACTGGGGGTTTAAAGGGGTTTCCTGGGGATACAAGACGTTACAACGGGTTAACGAGGGTTATAAGGGCTTACAGGGGGTTACAAGAAGTTACAGGGAGTTACGAGGGGTTACAAGGGATTAGAGGGGGTTACAAGGGGTTACCGGGGGTTACAGGGGATAAGAGGGGTTACAGGGGGTTTAAAGGGGAAACAAGAGGTTACAGGGGGTTACAAGGCGTTACCGGGGGTTACAATGCGTTACAGGGGGCTTAAAGGGGTTTCTTGGGGATACAAGAGGTTACATCGGGTTACCGAGGGTTAGAAGGGGTTACAGGGGTTTACAAGGGGTTACATGGGGTTCCAAGGGGTTCCATGGGGTTAGAGGGTGTTACAGATTGTTATAAGAGGTTTTTGAGGGTTACAAAGGGTTACGGTGGGGTATTGGAGGTTACAAGGGGTTACAAAGGGGTTACAAGTGGTTACTAGGGTTACAAGGAAATACAAAGGGTAACAGGGAGTTACAAGGCGTTACCGGGGGTTACAGGGGTTACATAGCGTTACTGAGGGCTTTAAGGGGTTTCTTGGGGATACAAGGAGTTACAACGGGTTAACGAGGGTTAAAAAGGCTTACAGCGGGTTACAAGGGGTTACAGGGAGTTAGGAGGGGTTACAAGGGAATACAGGGGTTTACATGGGGTTACCGGGGGTTACAGGGGATAAGGAGGGTTACAAAGGGTTACGGGGCATTATTGGAGGTTACAAGGTGTGACAGAGGGTTACAAGGGGTTATGGCGGAGCTCTCGCGCGCGAAGTACCATGGGTAAGAAAATTTAGTAAACTATCCATCAGAGAAAATTTGGTTATGACGTAGAGTACGCGCGCCCGCCCAGCCGTACACACACTTCATGTAAACCGATGTCAAATGTCACAATAGATTTTAGTTGCACAACTTGACTATCCTCTTAGTTATGTAAGCCATCCGTATGAGTACGATTAGATTTACAGCTGTCAAAATCAAACATCCGCTCACAATTATCACATGACCATCTCGCGGGCTCCGATGAAATACCAGTCGTTTTGCCCCTACATATAAGCTGATATAATATGTCACACTTACCAATTCAGCATAAGAACGAAACTACGCCGGGCAAGGCTGTCAGTTGGCTGACAGTCATTTAAAGTTATATTGGCAAGCCAAATTAAGGTCAATTGACAGCTGTCAAAACGTGCAGACCACTATCAGAATGCAGACCACTATCAGAAAACTAATAACGTGGGCTCAGGTTCGCTCAGGTACACGATCTGGCTTTTTCCAATAAATGCCGGACGGATATGTCTTACTCACACTCACGGTAGTCTGTTAATTCGAATATTCGCCATTGTAATTAAGGTTAATTGACAGCTGTCAAACTAGAGTATACGCTGACCATCATTACCTGACTATATCGTGGGCTCATTTTTGTATCCATTGAGATCACGTAGTGTTTAAAGTCTTGCGTTGATATTTTATTTGATCACGGGCTTAATTCGAAGCCCCATAGCTT